TCTCGCTCTCACTAATATAAACAACTCCGCAGGATTGGTGTTGCTGAGCGTGGAAATTCGTTATAAACGGAAAGTGTATATACAACTAACCTAAAAAGTGATCGTTATATCCGGAAGTTCGTTATAACCAGTAAAAAAATGCGTTGGCCTTTATGGACGACGTTTCAATTAAAGGAGAAAAGTTTGTTTTAACCGAAAGTTCGCTACAACCGGGTTCATTATAAGCGGACTTTACTGTACGTTAAACCCCCGTAGTCATTAAAATAATGATCATCTGGAAATGTTGATAGATTTTGCTAGCAATCATTTCGAGAGTAGATAATGTGATACAAAATGTTTTTCTGCATAAATTAGTACGGTCGTGTTACATTTCGCATTCTCTTCTAATCTGACAATAAGACCAGATCGATGTCCTTGGCACCATCGGCAGAAATTACAGCACCTTTCCCTTAGCCTGTAATCATTAGGTTTGTGCACAAAATCAATTGTTTATTTCCGGAGTTATTGATCCACTTATTATAGAAAATAAAATAGTTTCGGTTGGACCAATTGCTTGTATTGTTTATTGCAATTAAGATAGCAAAAAATTGCATTTCAAAACTGATTGGTGTTGAAACATCCGATGCGAAAAAATGTTAACCATTCAGCCAGTAGCTATATGAAAAATCGGATTTTTTTCTCGCGGTTTATCTGCGAAGGCGCTAGATTATACCTTATCAAACTGCTACAATCGAAAATTGGCCTTACCAACAGTTTCATCATTTAGTTCATTCGATACGATTAACGAGTTACGATGGGCTTTCTGGATGGTGTGATGGAACATTTTCAACGGCTGGCTTCTTACGATGAAGCCAAATCTTTTCAAAAACTGCGTTACAACAACATGTTTTTTTGTGGGATGGAGACCTCGTACAAACTGATGATTCATGGAGAATTTTGAGACACAGAAATCGACTGAGAAAAGTGCCAATGGCTGGTTCCGACATGTCGATGATACCTTTTTTTATGACTTTTTTACTTTACGAAGACTTAGAAACTAGGCCTGGGCAACACTGTGTTGAGGAGTTGCGCTTTTGCGTTGATACCGTTCGGTGGGTTGGTGAATTATAATTTATCGCTCCTCACTGCACCGCACCTTGAATTGCGCTTGTGGAGAAATAAGTCTTGAAATCAGAACTTTCAAAGACGTTTTTAATTAGTTTAAATTTTGTTGGTTTCTTGGTTAAACAGTTTAATTTTTAAGTGACTTCTTCGCGGTTTTTTTGTTTAGTCAATATTTTTAGAAAAAAAAGATTAATTGCGTTATTAATTTCAGTTTTGGCGATGTGCCTTAATTACTGCAGCTGAATGAAATTAAGACAAATTTAAATGGCTCTAATTTAAAATTAAATTTTAAAAATCCGGCGCTTGGAGCGTTTTTCGTTAAGTTGTTCAATTCCGGTAAGTTGGAACGTGTAATTTGCCTTTGGAAATTTTGCCATTCTAACAATAAACAAACTGAAAACGAACTGCCAAGTCAATCATGATTTATTGAAAAGCGAATAATTAAATGATTAAATAATCATGTTTATTCTGTAGTTCGGTGTCTTTTTTGCTACCGACATGGGACGAAATTAGTCAATATTCGCATTCTTAGATGGGAAATTTAGAATAGTTATGGCCCTTATGCCAAGTGCGGTAGTTTGTGAAAGTATAGTGAACTTCTTGAAGATTAATGGGTAGCAAATGGAGGATAGGGCGCCCGCTTACAAAAAGCTGTAAGAATGATCTCTAATCTATAAATCAGCTGGGTATCATCATATGGGTATGTACATCGTATGGGTTCCAGTTTTATGTAAAAAAGTCAAGAGTTTTTGGTTTGCCTGATTTTTTTTTAATTGCGAAAACGATAAAAACTTGTCGCCACCTTTTTTGACGTTGCTGAAAAGCCATTTGGGCCACGGAGTTTGTGTCTATATTACTGGATAGAGAATTGGTAACTCGATTCAGTTATAACAACGTGCGTGAATAAACTCTGATGTATTTGTCGTAAAAAGTGCCGCACAAAATTTGAATATCAGAAATTTAGATGCAAGTTTACCCCAAAATTTTATTTAAATTAGAAAAAGTCTCCTGCATAATCACAATCTTTCAAAGTTTCTACTGGCTTTCCTTTTGAAGTTGGACTTTTTTTAATGAGGAATATGCAGTTGCTCGCAAAATTCAGGATTTAAGGCGATTGTGAAGATTTGAAGGAATAGTTTTTTATTATTCGAGTGTACGTCATTTTACAATTTTTCAATATTGAATCCATTAACAGATCCGGAGAAATATATTTTTTATTCCGGTGCATATTGGAATCTGATTGCCTTTGAACTGAGTTGAATAAAGCAAAATTCTTTAGGATATAAGTACGGGTAAAACATGGAATTCTATATTTGATATTATTTTACAAAACATACTTAAGCAGCGCTTCTGGTCAACTATGAATTGAAATGATTATTTCAAGTACCAAATTTAAAATACTTCAATGCAGAGATAAAAACAAACTGGTTAAAAATATATATTTTGCCTGATTGCACTTTGTTCAATCAGTCAATAAATTGATTGCTAAAACGTTATTTTCATTTATGTTTATTATATCAACTTTTATTGCTCAGAACGATTAAATATTCATTTTAAGGGAAACATTACTTACGATAGTGAATTCAAAATTTCGTTTGATGCAAATTCTAGCAGCAGTGAAGTGTTTGCGATTTTCAAAGCTTGCTTATTGGCTTTGCTAAATGATGCAGCTATCCCATGAGATGACTTAGGATCAACTCCACCGACTGCAATAGAAATAGACATAGAAATTGTGGTCTATTTTCAAATAGGTCAATATTTACCTGTGCTCCAAACTTGGTATTCCATCTTTTTCCTTTGCAAAACTTTCTGCTCAGCTTTAGCTAGAGCATGCATCAACAGTTCTTCACTGACGTCCACTTTTGGGTCCATTTCGGCCCATTCAGCCAATTGGGGCAACGCATATTGATCACATAAAATCCTTTCATTTAGAAACTGATCTTCCACAACAAACGCTTTTGGTTGTATTTTGCCCAAATCATCTGTGTTGATACACAATAAGCCTGCCAATGTAATCTTTTTAATTTCTTTCAGTTGAGCCGTTGTGAGTGAACTGGGAGGCAAATCGTTTTCATACCAGAACCGATCACTTTTTTTAAGAAGAACAAACTGACGTGTTAATAAACAATTGAGCGTTCTGCCGACTATAGACCCAGGAAGGGGCGTCTCTAGTAAAACTCCTGGGAGTAGATCAATATGCTCAGTTTTATTGTATAAATAGCGCAAGGCTTTTACGTATTCAGGTTTGATGCCATACGATTTCAAGTCGTCAAATTTCGGATACTTGGAGAACGTTTTATTGCTGCAGAACTCCAACACTGTAATGTAGCCAGGAATGCCATGATCTCTACCCATGTGTACGAACAACCCTGAAGTATCCCAGTCTTTTCGTAATGGCACTGATATATGCATGCTGGGATTCTGAGCTGGTTCGGTGATGAGAATATCAATCATTTCAGCGAACGTTTCAGCGGTTTTATTATTCTGTAAAATGCTAACCATTAGTCCCATTGCCGCTTCACGTTTCAACGATTGTCTAAGCTTTCAGCATCTGCTGAGAAACTTACACCTAATAGGTAGTCGTACTTACCAAGCTGCTGGGCAACATAGACAGAAGAGCTGGAAGTGCTGTTAACGCAACTTCATTAAATATTCCGGCTCTTCTTGAACTGGAATATTTTGAAAACCGACCATGTGGTCTCAAGCTAAGGTCCGAGTTCACTATTGATTCCTAAAAAAGTTCACTCGATGCAAATTGCAACTAATGTCAGCTTCACTTACTTGTCCTAAAACAATAGGCAAAAATTCATTGTAGGTGATATGTTGAACTTCGGAAATGACAATCCTGCGGCTTTCCAAAAATATGTCCTCATCATTCCAATGTTTATTCAGCATTGCTAAATTTATCGCAATTCGGTTATGCTCTCTTAGAATTGCCGAATAAAGCGCATTTGTTTGGCAAGGAAAGCAAGCTGATATGTTTACCAAGCCATTATCGTATGTCCGAAGAACTTGTAATTCGGTATCCGTATTGCCATACACGGCTGAGCCGTCTAAGAAGCAGGACGCTAGATTCATCTGATTGCGATACTCTGAAAAATTAGGTGACAAAATCAAGCTATGTTAAATGTACTTGAGAAAACCTTAAAAACTTTAGACATTTTATTTCTTTGGTTCTCTTGTCATCAATTTTGATTCCAGTTCCAGTCGAATATGATATCAAAGATCAAAGTATTTCGGGTTTATAAAGAAAATTTGCTAGAGCGTGTACGAGCGATATCACCGAAAGGAAGAAAACCCAAGAGTACTGACGTCACTAGGTCTGATTCGCATTGTAAGTAGGCCAAGTACATTTATACAGTAGGTGGCGACTGTTGCTTTTTGTTAGTGATTGATTAGGGTTGTTATTAATTGCAGGCAATAAAGATTGACATTTTAAAATTGTTTTTAGATTTATTTGAAGGGCCATTTATTAATAATATTTCAAAAATTTCTTCAAAATTTCAGAATTTTCCAGCTTTAGCCAAGTTACTTCTTCTAAATGCTCAATTGTCTAAAGTTTCACTTAAAAATGCTGACAATCTTAAGGTATTTTCCGCGAAAAATTATGAAATAAATTTCGTCGCTTTGTAAAAAGTTTTGAAACTTACCAGGTTCGAATTTGTAACAAAAATCAAATAATTTTCTATCAAAAAACGAACAGAATAAGCGAAAGTTTACAACACATTATTAGGAAATCTGGTCGCTTCCGTACCTCTCAAGACTGTAGAGTTTGTTGAAAAAATGTGGTTTTTCAGTTTTCCCTGAATTTTTTTGTTTTGCTTTCTACTCAAAAACGCTCTATTTTGCAGAGTTTCACTTTAAAATACCGACGATCTGGAGGTATTTTACGCGAAAAATATAAATTTGAAGTTCGAAAAGATAAATTTATAGCTTTGTWAAAATTTTACAAAACCTTTTTTTYCCTCCCGTTATTCCCCGAAAACCATTAAGTTTTCTACAAAACCGATGACAAAAAAAGTTTTCAATCGAAAACACAAAAAAACATTATTTTCTGAYGATTTTCTTCTTGTCTCACAATAATGGGGTCTTTTCAAACAAAAATTTCAAAATTAATTTTGCTAGAAAATTCGCCTCATTCATCGGTTTACAGGAAACTTTAGAAAACCCATCTCAGCTTCGAATTTGGGACAAAAACCAAATAATGTTATTCAGTTTTTTACCGAAAGTAATTTAGGATCTCTTGAAGAAACGGCCAGAAAGCAAAAGTTAACAAAAACTTCGCCAACACGATTTTTTAAGTTTATTTAAATTTTCAGGTCATTCCAGTTTTAACAAAGTTTTTACTAAGCAATTATTTGTACGCAAAAATCACATTATTTTTTAGTTTTACTGGAAATACTGACAATCTTCGGATATTTTCTGTGAAAAATTATAAGATACATTTTATTGGAACACTCGGCTCCTGAACAGCTTTGTAAATTAAGCTCCTTAATGGCTTAGCAAATATTTTTGAAAAACTTTTTGCAGCTTCCAATTATGGACAAAACACTAATAATAATTTCTGGGCCTTTTTCAAAAAAAATCCCTGAATTAAAAAAGCGAAAGTGTATAATCATTTATTTGGAAAACTTTTGAAAACTGGGGTTTCTTCACTTTTAAGTTAATATTTCTAAACAACACTGTCTCTAAACAGAAAAAACGCGTTTTTTTTAGGTTTTTTTAAATGACTTGTAAATCATTAACCGATGAGTTATGACTCGTTAACTCAGAGAGCGGCAACAACTCAATAGCGCAACTCAACACAGTGTTACCCAGTTTACAGTTTAGCAGCCCAGTATAAATCTCACAAGGTTATTAAATCAGAGGCAACACATTTAGAAAACTTTGCTAGGAGTGATACTGGGAACATTCAAAAACAGGTCGAATTCTTTTCGAAACTTTGCGACATTCGGTGAAACTTTTCTTGAAACTACGTAGTTTTCAAGACGATTCGAGTGATTTCAAACTGCCAATACATGGTCCAATCGAACGGATTTTTAATGAGCTTTATTGCTGTACGTACGAGTTAAGTAATAAAGGCTATTGAAAAGGTAGGTCGATTTGGTCATGCACATGTAGGTCTTCAAACTTTGAATTCACTCGAAACCTATTTTTTCTTGTTTCTAAAACATGAACTGTTAAGTTGTAACTGAAGTTAAAACGTTTGTGGCTAGTGAACGACGTTACTTAACGGAAAAGTTAGTCAGTTAAACCAAACATTGTAGAAAGCATGTAAATTCTTGAAAAGATTATTTGGGTATAAAATCTTGATATTCGAACAGTTGATCCATGTATACCCGGGTTATGTCGAGCGCTGGCCTACTTTGCGTGACGTCACATTTGCAGGGATTGAAAGGAGTTTGTTTTGAGGTCTGGACAATTTGATTTTCGAGCCTTTACTCTTGTGAGTGCGTCCTCAACATTTCAATATTTTACGTTACTTACTGAAATTGCAACTATCAACATCCATAGACGGCAAAGTCCTCATATATTCCTTACATTGCCCGTTTCCGAGATGTCCATAACATTCTTGATGAATCTCGTTATCCGCACAGCAATCCTCACTCTTTAGGTTGCCCGTCATAGCCAAATCGTGCAAAAGAAGCTCGCTCCATGCTCCAAGCAGAGCAGTAACTGATTCGTGCGATTGAACGGGAATAGACTGAAGAGTGGCGGAAACATCTAGAGGATTGGGAAGCGACTTTGTTGTTGATGAGCTTCTCGGCTGAGATTTTCCTGAAATCAAAATGATAATGTTAAGTTGTTTGCGGCGAATACAATTGATTGATATTAAAATATAAAATCATAGCAATGGGAAAGTGCATTATTTTGTACAGGGGGCGTTGCTATAAATGCATACTTTTTTGTCTTCGTAGTACACAAGCATTGCATCATTTTTTCTTGGGAAAGGAAAATTTATTTACGTATTAATTAATCTATTTATTACATTTTTATGTCAGAATTTAGAGAATTTTATATGCTTTAGAGCGAAATAAGATAAAAGAACGCTGGTGATAAATTCAAAGAAGTTATCCATCCAATGATGCGAAAATGACTCCTATCAGCCCACTTCCCATGGGTGGAGTAAGAAGCATTTTTAAAATATCTAATAAAACTCCCCGGAAAACTCCGGCAGAACTTTTGGAAAATACTTTGGCGCATAAAATTTTTGACGCAAAATACCCAAAAAGAACGTTTTCAAAAGATGAATCGGCCTCAACCATACACAAATACCCTTTAAGAATAAAGCGTCATAAAAAATAGGACATATTTAAAATTTGGATCACGCTGTAAAAAAAAATTTTACATCAAAAAGAGCGCAATTGAAAATATTAATCAAAGTGTCCGAGCATATTTCCGAAAAAAAATCGGTCTTTAATTTACTGAATTGATTCCAAAATACACACGCGCACTATACAGGGTGATTCAAAATTGGCGTCATTCTTCTGGAGGTGTTGTCTGGGGGAAAAATAGGAAAAAATATTAAAAACTGGAATATTTGCAAAAAACTAGATTAGAAGAATGGCAACAATGTTTTGAATTGAATAAATTTGTTGTGCTTAAAATATTTCACAATATGAATTCGAACATGCCTCCACTCGTGCAAAGATATTGAAATCCTACACTGTTTACGTGTGTGATTGTGGGAGACCAAAACATAATGGGTTCTAGCAATGTAATTAATTGAGATATTCAAATTATTGCCCCGTGAATTTGATTGACAAAATAACAAATTGTAAAACATACAAATTGATCACTATAGCCAAATAACATGATCTGGGCATTTTACAAATTACTTGTCGTTTCATCTATTAGCTTCGGGTCATTTACATATAAAGCAGGTATTTTCCGATTGTTAATGATAGAGAATCTCTGGATCCGGGTAGTAAAGGGACGGTGTTGCCTAATTTAACATTTCGTTCTTTATAAATATACTTGTTAAACAGGTAATTTTTCAAATAAGTTTTTTATACATTTCACTTACTGTGTTTTTACTTCCGTACTTTAGTATTTGCCACCGGTTTCTAATGTGTCTATCTTTGAGTGAAAATTAAAAACAGTTTTCAACCATTTCAGTATTCGTGAATTTAAAGCAAGTTTGCTATTAATTACACTACGAATGCACTATTTCCATTTACTTCAAAATACCACAGCAGCGGACTACCAGATCGTCAACAATAAATAAATTGACCTTTAGAAAAACATCTGGGGAATAATCTCCTGAAAATTATAGATCAATGTAGCACGTGAGCTTCGTCAAGGTAAACACGAAGAAATCTTAAAACGTATTCTTTAGGCAGCCAACTGTATAATGTTCATTGTGCAATAGTAATGTTTTCGCGAAGAAAATAATCTAGCTAAAATTTGTATCCTTTAACTTGGAAGTAGCAACATGGAATTGCTTGTACTAAATCATTACGGACTCGTATATATGTTCTCTCTATAGCCAGTATAATGACGAATGGTCTAATTAACTTAAATTTTAACATACGAATGTTTTAAGATTACTCTTAAACCATCTGTCAATTAGGTCAATTGCAATGCGGCTTTTAACAGTGGGGCAATGAGTTAATAGAGGCAATACAAACATATGATTTAGTACAGATGGGCTGCCTCAGAATGTATTTGTGAAAATGGTACATTTGTAGATTTTTACATATTTTTTAACCCTGAACAAGTAATAAAATACGCCTGTGTGAATGGTCAAACGTGCAAAGCAGAGTTTTAGGACTTTACGTTATCGGAAATACTTGTTGGAAATAAACTAAAAACAATATTTTAGAGAAAACTTAGTTTTGCGAACAAAAGTTTATTGCCTCGAAAATGTTTACACCAACATATTTAAATAATTTTGATCGAGGTAAATTGATTGTGATTGGCGGCCCCATCGATGACCTGCATGAACGGTCGAATATCACAGGTGTTCACCTCTTTTTGTGACTTCTTTTTCTGATAAGATCGCATAAAAATTTACATTCAAAGGCTACGCGAATAAACTACTAAAACCACATTTGAATATATTGAAAATATTAAACAGTCTCTAAATAGTAGAAATCTGTTTAAGACATATTCTTATTTAGTAGATGTGTTAAGTACATATTTTTTCTAACAGTACTTAAATATTCTATTATAAAAGAGTTATTGAAGTATATATGTGATTGAAATGATAAAAACTCGGAACATAATTTTGTGGATGAAGCGAAATTAATTAAAAAAAGTTTTACCTGAAGGGAAGCCAAAAAAACCCGTTTGACTCGACCTTTAATCTTGATAATGTCAGCCGTGACGTAAACCGCTGGCGGCCTACGTCAGTAGATGGCCTAGGCCACGCCCCCTCTCTCGTCGGTGCAAAGATCAGCCAGCACCAATCAGAGCAAGGGAGCACGAATCTGACTAGTCAGTTTGAGTCAGTTGAGTTTGTTTTGTTAAGGGACAAAATCCTCATAAAATATGGGTCGCTTATACAGGGCTTATATATACGCGCGCGATTATATGCTCTAACTTGTGTAAGGTTTCGCGTGAGGACAGAGGTAGAGTTCAGATTTGTAGTGTCATGATTTGACATGACAATTAGACAAATGAGGTTTTTTCAAAACTTATAAATTTTCCTACATAACATAAAAATTAGTAGTACCAAGTGTATTATAAATGTGCATACTTTGGATGGAAATCAAACTTCACCCCTGCTGAATCACTCAATATATTAAATTAACAGTATTTCTAACAAAGTCTGGAAATATGTATATAAAAAAAATGTGTGGCGGAGCTGAGGTAGACGCGACTTAACGTTTCTTCCTGGGTGACAATATTTTTTTGGTACTCCAAAACCTGTTTAAGAACCCAAAAATAGTTTTCATCGAAATACCATACTTGTTTAGACTAATTATAATAAAAACATTTAAAATTCCGCTTCGGTTGACTTATAAAATAATTTACGGTCATTCATATTTTTATGAGTTTTGAATTCTACAAGTGACCGTATATTTAAATTGTTGCCCTTGAAAAGCGTAATTTACGATTGGTGGTGAACTGATTATCAAATGTATTACCAAACTTGAGAATTTATCCAAGTAAACATTCCCATTACCGAACGCTACACTCTCAAGCAGTACATTAAAATTTCCATTCCGGATATTTGTTCATGTGAGGAGGATACAATACTGCGAAAATGCAAAAAACAAACAGGTCAATCATCTATCTTCACAAAATCCTGGTAGCAAGGTCGGTAAGCAGACAATAACACGCTGCTTCTTAATGAATACTAATTACAATAGACTTGCTCAAGTCTTCATCGACATAACCATTTGTTCATTACTTAATTAATTGTTACGGATTAACTGGTAGAAATGTACGGAAATTATGAAAAACTTTGCTTGTCTGTCCTTGACCTAGGCTATGAAGCTAACAGTGAAGCGGAACTGCGAACATTTTATAGCCAGCGTACGCTAAATGAAAAATGAACGTATAAGAACTCAAAAAAAGTACTCACTATCGGCATATTCCGCATCTACAAGTCTCAGGAATGGAGCTCCACGAGTACCCCAACTGGGATGTCTCACATTATTACACTCTCCATTGGTAGACCTGAACTTGCTTGGTGGACATGGTACCGAGTCATCAGATTGTTCACATTCTTGGATCGTTGGTAGATTTCCTTTCTCTGCATTTAAAGCCAATCTCACCTTCGTCCGTAAATCTTCAGGTAGAGGCCGCAAGTATGAAGTCAAATCGAAATTTTTCTCAATCAATGTTGAATTGCCTCCTGTGAGATTTGTGATCGACAGGATGGAAATTATCCAGAGGGTTGTACCCATAAAACGAAACCTGCAAAAATATATACATTTAGTATGGAAACTTGTGCCGCTATTCGCTTATACATTCTCGTATAATCAGTTTCCTAATATAACAGCAGAATATCATCAACGCAACGTAACTAACTAGAAGGTTTTAAGATAAACGAATAAATCCTGGGAAATATTGAACATCAACAATACTCGGAAGCTGTAGTATTAAAGCCACGTCATTAAAATGTATTTCTAATGATTTCACAGGCAGGGTGAGATCATTATGCAGCAATAACCAACCGCAGGAAATGCACTCTAAAGATCTGCCGAGCTTTCCGCAAAAGGACCAACAAGACCAAACTTGCAGAATAGAGTGTAACAAAGCGCAGTTTTTCCCTTTATACCAACAATGTATTAGTAACAGTTATATATTTTTCTTGAATAGGTTCTGAACGACCAAAAAAAATGCTTGAACGACATTTTTTAAACCTGCTCTTGTAGTATCTGGGACATGTTAACAGGTAGTTGTTACATCTAAAGCCGCTGCTGTAATTCACCTATTCACAATTTGAAATACTATCAATTCGTCGTAACGAACGTCACACTTGTTTAAGTACTTATGGAATTATCAGCTAGAAAAATACAATATAAACAGGGTGATTCAAAATTGGCGTCATATATCACTCTTTTGCCCCAAAAAGGTTGGCAGCACTGACGACAAAGTGACAACGTTATCCTAACCTGGAACTATTTAGTTGCCACTTTCACTTTCTCAGTTTGGTGCTTACCGATGACCGATTTAAAAACATTGTTGCCGTCCTGATGAACATCTTTTTTTTGCAAATATCTCAGTTTTTAATACGGATTATTTTTTTACTATTTTTCCTGTACTCCCAAAACACTCCCTGACAACACCCCCAGAGGAATGACGTCAATTTTTAATCCCCTGTATAGATTATTTGAGGGTCAAGCTAAATATGGTTTTGTGAGGGTAACGTGAAACTATATCTTTCTCCTCTTTGCTTCTTCTGCTGTTTCACAAATTTTGAAATATTCTTGCATGACAATGTTAGCTCAAATTTATATGGCAACCACATTGAATTTATGAGCAGACGTTAGGATTTTCCCGTTTAATGTTATGATTTACCATAAATGTAAGGGGAGAAAGCTCGGTGAATTATTAATAATTAAATGGTAGATCTTTAAATCGATTTTATCATCGTGATTAATCGCAGCATTATGAATATCACTACTTCACATCTTATTATCTTAGTGAAGACATCTTGCAAATCCAGTATTTAGCGATTTTTGCGTAAAGCGAAATAGTGATCAAATTATGTCACTACAAACTATTATAAAGCTTACTGAAAACAAAATGACTAGGCCGATAAATAGACTGACCGTTCAAAATGAACTCTAACGTATTTAGCCTTGCGAATTATCAATGACCTTTTCGAATGTAAAGAAAATGTAATTACCTTTTTGAAACTCAATACCGTCCATAATTAAATTACCGATTCAATTCAATCAGTTGACGAATTTTGGAATGTAAAACTAATAAAAGTTACAATTTTTCCTGAAGTCCCTCTTCGAATTCTTCCTGTTTTTTGAAAAAACAACAAAACAAAAAATGTATGTATTTTATTTATACCCGAAACGATGAAAGTAAAATCTTTGACAAGTAAGTTATGAAGAGAGTTTACAAGAAAGAACAAAATTTACCTGCCACTTTTTCTCATTGATGGGGCTATTTTTCTCCATCGATTTTCTTTTACTGCAAAAAGTTTTTAATTTTCATCTTCGTAATCATAAATCGATGGATATTTTCAGGCCTCTTTAATTAAATTGTCATGCGTATGGTTCCGGTCTGCTACTAATATAAGAAAATTGATGGGTTTTCTTTTACTTCCAAATCAAATTCATTCCTGGGTTTTAGTCATTTATTGTTTCTATTTATCAATCAAAATACGTTTCGATGTATTTTTCCACCATCATCAGTTTTTCTAAAATAACAGATAGTTAAAAAATATGTTCATTAACTTAAAAAACAACCACAGTTCGTCAACAGCCCCATCATATCACACTTTTTTTAACTATCTGTTATTTTAGAAAATTAAAGACCATTAAAGGAGTAATTTGCGATCATCCGCGAGTCGCCAGTCGCACCACCTAAACCGTACCTTTAAGGATACGATAACCAAATAAAAAATGAGTAAGGTAGAAAATTATATAGTCGGATAAACACCAAAGATCTAATCTAAAATCGCGATCAAAACTACAAGTTATCGACGCCAAGAAACAACCGATGATAAATGTACAGCATTAATCTGCCATCATTTAAATCAATAAAAAAAACTAATTTCTCCAAGTGGATATAGAATTTCGAATTTTATATGGCGTTCGAGTTTACACCTTATTAGAACCAGTTTTGTGATCATCAAAGGTGAAATATCCTACTGCAGTCTGCTAAGAGGAAGCACGGTG